TTCGACTTTAAGTTAACATTAAAACGCAAATACTTTTTTGTTACATTCATTGGGGAAAATCGCGAGAAACGTAACTTTATGTAATTCAAGATGGTGGAAACGCCCACTGGCGGCCATCTTGGAAACTTGAAAATAATTTCCAGCATTTTCCCTTGCCCACTTTACCTATAAAATTTTTTACCGTAGCTCTCTACGATCATTAGTTTCTGAGATACAGCCGCTTACCTCGCTTATTTGCCCACCCTGTACATTTACAATGGCCTACTTAAACAATTATGACCCCATTTTGGGGTGTATGATTAACTCGATTATACCCATATTTCTTTTCTTTTTAATCTATCGTGGGTTAAGTTTAGTTGAATTACTTGAAACAATTTATTGATTGGATTCTTTGTGCAGAAGAAAGTTGTCGAATTTGGAGATAAATACTCTCATAACAGCATTCTTGTCCTGAAAGCAACACAAGAAGGTGCACGCAGAGTACTTCTGATAGGATCTCGTAATTCTCCTGTGTGTATAAGAGATGCTATGACTGGATTGTATATGAGAACTATGGAAGATGTTATATCTCCTACTGTTTATTCTTTAATTTTGAATAAAAGTTTGCTTTATTGTGGAACTACTAATCATGACATCTTAGTATATTCTTTTCATGTAAGTAAATTTAGAATAATAATGTAGTAATTATTCTCAACCATCAGTGAAGTATTTTCACCTGATCAGATGTAAAGGAGGAAATTAATATTTTATATAAGTAAATTTAATTTTTAAATAAAGATTAAAAAGCTAGCAATAGACAGTCATCAAACTATGTACAATATTATTGTTAATTCAGAAACTATTAGAGACGAGTAGAGATTGTTAAATTAGGGTGAAGTTACGTAATTTTGCATGCAGTTGTTCACAGAGAGAAATAAAAAGTATATAACTTTGTCTTAACTGAACTATCTTTTTCTCTGATAGTTTTCGAAATAGCAATGTTATCGCGCCCAATTTAAAACACCTGTACGTTCAGTTTACCTTAGAATCTCTTTAAAGTTGCATTCATTTGAAATATAAATAGCTATCTAAAATTTTCATTTGGTTCGTAAATAATTGAAAATGCTCACTTTCATGTTCATTTGTAGGATGGAAAATTAATTCATAGGTATAAAGCAACTGACTCCAAAGGGATTGGCTGTATGAAAATCGATAGAAACTTATTATTTGCTAGTTGTCATAATGGTAATATTTATGTTTATGACATTAAAGATAATACATTTATATCCAGCATACAAGGTCCAGGAGGTGTAATACTATCTATGGAAGTATTTGAAAATCAGGTAAAGATGCAAGAAATGTTTTATTATTTTTTTTATTACTTCTATTTTTTCGCATATTTTTTAGGTCGGTAACTAGCTGTTTGCCCACTCTATTTATTTTCGTGCGGTAATTTTGTCGTACGCGAATTGCCTATAAAACACGCAAAATTTAAATACCTACACACTCGAAAATATTATTTTTATTACTTGTGACGAATAAGTCCTATCTTTTCGCATGTTTTTTAGGTCGATAACTAGCTGTTTGCCCACTCTATTTATTTGCGTGCGGTAATTTTNGTCCGTTTACACCCACTAAAAAAGCATTTTCCTATTCCCTACCAAGTGCAAAAGACAGAGATAGAATATAGATCGACGTTCAGTGTAACTCGGTCTCTAGACGATTATAGATTCTATCGATGTGCGTAGCGAGCGGCACAAAGATAAATAATATTGAACCGTATAAAAATCATTTTATATTTTACACGCATTATGGTAATAGTGTTTTTATATTATGTTTTAGTCACTCCTTATAATTTCGACCGTGGAGTATAAAACATTAATATTTTACAAACCATTGTTTTGTTGTATTATCAGAATGATTTATACATTGAAATAATATATATGTAAAGATCGACCAGGGTAATTCATCTATAAAGAGTGAATATTAATTTAATGAGTAAAATGTTTATATCAGTGTAATGTATTTTTTTACTTTAATTAGCAATTAGCTACCAGCTAAATGATTCACAGAAGGTTTATCACATGATCAATTAAAAAATCTTAGTTTCCAAAAATATATCATTTTCTTCTTGAATTGCACAAAGAAAAATAGTTTTACTCGGAAGAAGAATGATTTGGTATTTAAAACCTTAAAATTTCTGAATTGATGAGCCGGTAACAATACATTATTATAAGCATACAACATTATTATATAAGAAATATTCATTAACATATTAGTACTTTCACAAATTGGTTTATATCTCTGAAAGGCAACAATCAATTATTTTTGTATATATCCTTTTGAGATCAGAAGAAAATTTACTAACATAGATAAAAAGGAAAACAAATAGAGAAGTAGAATGTTATGTGACCTGTATACAGGGTGTTCCTAAATAAGTGTCGCAATGGAAAACTGTAAATTCCTCTTGAAAAAAGAAACATTATTTTCCTCTTCCATTTTTCTCTGCGGGCTTTCGTTTTCGAGATACACGGTGTCAAAACTTTATTTTTTTTTTAGTTTTTTGCCAATATCTTAGGAATCGTTTGAACTACAGGACTGAGCTTTTGTACACACATTACCACTATTAATAGCTACTTTTTCGCACCCTTCTCGAATTCATTGGACGTGCCAGTAGTGGAGATTTTAAGGTATTGTAAGGGTTTCCCGCCCCTAAATTTTACGCCACTGGAAAAATTGACTTTTGACAGCAAATTCTAAAGCGCCAATAAATTTTACACAATAAGAGTTCTCTTGGTTCATTGTTCTAAAGTCAACCGTTTTCAAGAAAAATGACTTTTTATGAACAAAATCAAACATTTTGCTAACGTTTCGAAAATCTTTTGTAATTCAAAAAATCGGTATAATAATTAACAATTTTAACGAAATTTAACAACAGATAGGACTTCAACTTTTTTTTATCAATTTGGCGAGTAAAATTTACAGAAACTGTTCAAAATTACGTCCGTTGGCTTGAATGCACGCATTACATCTTCTAATCATGTTTCTTTCTGCCGCTGCGGCTTCACCTCTATCGGTCACCTTTTCGATAGTATTGACATGGAACGTTAGCAAAAATGTTTGCTTTTGTTCATAAAAAGTCATTTTTCTTGAAAACGGTTGACTTTAGAGCAATGAACCAAGAGAACTCTTATTGTGTAAAATTCATTGGCGCTTTAGAATTTGCTGTCAAAAGTCAATTTTTCCAGTGGCGTAAAATTTAGGGGGG